CACACACACACACACACACACACACACACACACTCTCTCAATTTCTTCTTCTTCTATTTTCCTTTTTCTTTCTGATCTTCAATGTTGCAATTTTGACACAGTCTCCTCTTTTTCCTCTGTTTTGTCTCGTGTTTATGTAACACTTTAAGATGAATTTGATTTGTTTAAAAAGTGTTAACTGCATAAGATTTCATTTATTTCTTCAGATCACATCTCTTGTGCCCCTTCCTTATATTAAATGTCTTCTTCTTTCAAATGCTTCTTTATCTGTCTTTTGTATCCTTCCTTTTCTCTCTTTCTCCTCCATATGTTAATTTATAGCAATATTACAATTGTTTTATGTTTTTCTGCAGCCTGAAGCCATCTCTACGTTCACCTCTGAGCCAGCTCTTGTCTCCTTTGCCGAGCTCTTCTGTAAAACTTCTGAAGGAATGAAACATGTGAGTTTTACATCCAAAAATGGATACGGATACACTCTGAAGGCAGGTTTCCTCCATAATGGCTTATCCCTGCAGTCATGTTACTGTTGTGGGTGAGCAACAGAGAGCCTGTGGCTGGTTTGAACAAACACAAGGAGTATAATGGTATTGCAAAACACTCAGCCTTAAACAGATTTTTTTTCTTAAGAGATGCCAGCTCAGTGGTGAGTTATAGTTTACTGTAAGATTTCTAAAGCAAATGTGTTGAATATAAATGCAAACAAAAGGTAACAAAACGTGTTTTCATTTATTCAGATGCATCCAGCATTTTCCCTACTTTCTTTTTTTTTTTTTTTTTTTTTTTTTTTTAAACAGAACCGACCATTTTTACCCCTCAGTCGTTAAAGGCTGATGGGTTATTATCGTCACCCCACCAGGCAGGGGGCTGGCTCCTGGCACCGGATATTAGTGAATGCGATAACCTGAGATCAAGGCGATACAAGAGCTTCAAAATCTTGAAGGAGTTTGATTCTCAGTGACCTTGACCTGAAGGTCAAAATAGGTTTTCTGAAAATCTTTTAAATGCAATAACTGAAGAAGGAAATTCCAAATTAATAACATAGGTGCATCTACTAAAAATCTTGGATGAATTTGATTCTCGGTCACCTTGATCTTAAGGTCAGAGTAAGTTTTCTGAAATGCAATAACTTGAGAAAAAATGCAAAAATGCACCATAGCTGTGCCTACTAGGAGGCTGAGGGGTAGTACTTCGTAGTTGCCAGTATTTTTAGAGAGTTATTCCAGACAAGAGTTTGTCAATTTTCCCAGGAAGCCTGACCTGTCAAATATCTCACAGCTTTGTTGTTAACATAGTTGGCAATGAAATATAGTTACATTGTAAACAAAACTCCTCTTCCCTTTAGAGTAAACAAGGAGCCATGATTGTGGAGGAGCTCTGACATAAGCAATGGAAAAATACAAAAAGCTAATAAAATGTCTTCCCAGATTCATGTTAGACAAAACCCAAATAGGTCAGTTTTGTGTTGGATAAACAACAATTTTCATACACCATGTATTCCTGTATCCTGATTCAGGTCTTGTGCAGGACAACCCATCCATGAGCATGATTTTATAATGTTACAAATATATTAAAAGGAATTGTTCTCTATATAAAGAATAAAGAAAATTTCAGGAAACTGCTATAGCAAACGATAAACATAAAGATGAAAAATCAGGGAAAACTAACTACAAACAGCCATATCAGCCTTTAGAAGAGATTAGCTTAAATTAAAAGCATATAGGAAGCATTTACCAGACTCTGTATCAGTGTTTTATATGTTACAAACAAAACAAGTTTCAAGTTTCAAGTACAGCTACAGTAGATCTTGGTAGAAATGTGGGAAATATTCAAGACCTTGACTTTGACTCAACATGCCAACAGGAGTAACAGGCATTCAATGGCCCTCTGAGGCCAGTCTGCATAATGCACATATGCTGAAGTTTTCCAAGTAGCATTTTTCCTGTATTCATTACTTTTAAGTCGAGTATATTGGTAAATATTTGCTGCTAGTTTGCAAATATTTGGTCATAAAGGCAAAGCATTGAATAAATTCAAAACTCACACAGGTTATTACCCCTTAACATTCCTGCACATTTTTAACATCTGTACTATATTTTACCTCAATATATTACCTCAAAAGTCACACATTCTGTGCCTTTAATGAGCTTAACATTGCTTTTAGCAATACATTTGGCAAAAGTGAAATCACAGAACTCACAAAAAAGATTGGCTTTAAAATAAGAATAGTTTTTAGGATATTTCAGTCAAAACAGGTTTGCATACAAGCTTAATGAAAAAAATAAACTGTAATGACGCCCAAAAAATGCTTACCTACAGCTTGATCTTATTAATCACTTGACTCTTATTTTGAGTAAAGTGGCTGCTTCGTCACATCTGGGTAATCGGTTAGATTGCACAGAGGTCATTGGTTTCAACTTGCATGGTGAAATGGAAGAAAATTAATCATGTTGAAGCATAGTGTTCTGTAATTAAATTTAAGAACAGGGGGACATCTCTTTGCTGTTCGTCTAGTTTTATCTGTTCAATCTCAGCATTTCTGCCTCTATATTTTCTACTTTTACTTGTTTATTAAATGTGAATATAGCCTGTAAATTCAGGAAATTGTTTTCTGGCGTGTAATTGAAAGATTCGTTGCTGTCTGGTATTAATGTGGGGTGAAATAGCTCCATGCCTAGATTTTAAATATACAGATCCCAACAGGCTCCGTATTTCTCCTTGTCAGTAGAGTGTGCCTAACATGAACAGATGGCCTTAAAAGTAATGAATTTAGTTTTTAATCAGAGTTCAGCCTCTATATAAGGAACTGATTAAGATGTGTTCTGTACAAACTTCAGTTAAATTCATACGATTTTAGACAGCGACACAATTTTAATACACTAAACATGTGGCTGATTGCAGGCTTTCAGCTTGAATTCAAGGGTTTTAACAAAAGTGTTGCATTCATTGTTTAGGAGAGAGAGACATTTTTACTAGGGGTGCAACGATACACAAAATTCACGGTTCGGTTCAATACTTTGGTGTCACGGTTCGATATTTTTTCGATACAAAAAATTTTTTCATGCCTTTTTAAATTTGTCATTTATTAAAATTATAAATATATATTTTAACTCAAAAGTACAGTTTTTAAATTTAATGTTGCTGAAACAAAAGTAATTTAAAAAAATAAATAATCTGATTGAGGAATCACTCATCGTTGGAAAAGAGAGTTTATTACAGAGAAATGTCTCTTTCCAAAATAAAAGCTATACTATACGCTTCTTCTGGGCTATATTCTCAGCAGCATATTGTAGCGGGTCAGGGCTGTTTGGGGTTCTGTTTGTACAGTTATGTTTTGTTTATGTTGCCATAGTGACGGGTGACGCCCTCTCGCTGCGACGGTGTGTCCTTCCGGGGTCAGAGGGCGCCCTGTGTGTTGTTGTTGTTGTTGTTGCTGTGCGGTTGCAGCGCTGAGCAGTTAGCTAGCGGCAGTGTTCTTCTGCAGATGTCAATAAACGGCTGTGCTCCCTGGCTAGCTCACGGGAAGCAAGACCAAACGACACCTCCGTCTCCTCGTTGTCTGAGCTCGCCACATTGGTGTCAGAAGTGGGATGATGGTGGCACCCCATGTTCTGACCCGAGTGACTTTTCCCCCGCCGGTCGTGACCGGCCGGTGCGCCAAAAGAAGGCACCTGGACATTTGCAAAGTGAAAGCAAAAAACAAGCGCAAATTCAAACGCGATTTCAATATGTCACATATTGACAGTGGCTCACCGATGCCAATGACATAATTACCCAGCTACATTTCCGAAAGAATGCAAAAGCATTGACATATATTTTTCCTTCCTACAATAGCCCAACGGGCAGGGCAGAGATAGATTTTGGTAACCCGACTGGAAAAATCGCTAGCCCCGGGACGTCGGGCTAGCGATTTTGCAAGCCCTGTGTTACAGGCATGGCCCTTTAAGGATGAAGCCTGATGGGAAATGTATTCGGGATGTGTGTAGCGGGACTGCCTGGTGTGTGTGTGAAGAGAGAGAGCGGAGAAGGGGAAAAAGTAACGGTTAGCTACAGAAGAGACGAAAAGAAAATAAATAAAAGGAATATAATAACTCCCTCGACAGCCAGAGTTGTGTCGGCGATGCTCGCTGTGAGTAAACTGTTTCAGCCCACTGTACGCGGTGTTCGTGCCTTAGAGAAGAAATAAAGTTCGGTGAAGCAGTTTCCTACGCCTCCTTCGATCTTTTTGCTAGCGGAGTTGACCTGTATAGTAAGCTGTTGCCGGCTACGAGTCAGTTACGGAACCTTCAAGTAACTGCCAGAGGTTTCCTTACTACGGTTCGGGGCCGCGGATCTGGCGCGGTAACACCTGTATCTGATTGAGGAATCACTCATCTTTGGAAAAGAGAGTTTATTACAGAGAAATGGCTCTTTCCAAAATAAAAGCTATACTATACGCTTCTTCTGGGCTATATTCTCAGCAGCATATTGTAGCGGGTCAGGGCTGTTCGGGGTTCTGTTTGTACAGTTATGTTTTGTTTATGTTGCCATAGTGACGGGTGACGCCCTCTCGCTGCGACGGTGTGTCCTTCCGGGGTCAGAGGGCGCCCTGTGTGTTGTTGTTGTTGTTGCTGTGCGGTTGCCGCGCTGAGCAGTTAGCTAGCGGCAGTGTTCTTCTGCAGATGTCAATAAACGGCTGTGCTCCCTGGCTAGCTCACGGGAAGCAAGACCAAACGACACCTCCGTCTCCTCCTTGTCTGAGCTCGCCACATTGGTGTCAGAAGTGGGATGATGGTGGCACCCCATGTTCTGACCCGAGTGACTTTTCCCCCGCCGGTCGTGACCGGCCGGTGCGCCAAAAGAAGGCACCTGGACATTTGCAGGACTTTGTGTGGGGTAATGGGGTCGTCGGGGACGACTGACCCCTTAGGTGGGGGCTATGTAGCGGGTCAGGGCTGTTCGGGGTTCTGTTTGTACAGTTATGTTTTGTTTATGTTGCCATAGTGACGGGTGACGCCTTCTCGCTGCGACGGTGTGTCCTTCCGGGGTCAGAGGGCGCTCTGTGTGTTGTTGTTGCTGTGCGGTTGCCGCGCTGAGCAGTTAGCTAGCAGCAGTGTTCTTCTGCAGATGTCAATAAACGGCTGTGCTAGCTCACGGGAAGCAAGACCAAACGATACCTCCGTCTCCTCATTGTCTGAGCTCGCCACAATATTAAACATATCAGGTCCCCATAAGGAGAATCATGTGCTAACGGCTGTCTAAATGACTCGGGTAAAGTTTGTAGCATGCATGCTTGTTGTTTTTGTCTGCTTCCACTTGTCTTTGCACTAGGATGATGTCGGGTAAATGTGCAGTCATATTCGTTGTGTTCCCACTAGTGCTGTCAGCGTTAATCTCGTTGAAATGACTTAACGCCACAACACGGCAAATCTCCGTTAACGAGCTATGCCCCGTGCGTGGGGCTAGACGGCCAACACGTTAACGAGCTAACTGCGCTAACACACTAGTTCCCACCCATGTAATTGAGCATTGCGTGGCACATCCAACATACTGTTTTACTTTAGTCCATGACGCGCTTACCTTCAGGGTCATACGTCACATGAAAACCAAAATAATTCCAAACGCCAGATCTGAATGAGGGTGGGGGAGGTTCAATTTGCCATGTTGCAAGGAGAGCTTAACTTCTGTCTCGCTAGCTTGCCCTGCGCTCTTCCTTCTGACTGATGCTGTCTGTGTTGAGCGCTCAGTGGATCTGCGCTCGACAGTGCAGCCTAGGCGGAGTAGTCGAACGCAGATTCACTGAGCGCTCAACACAGACAGCATCGTCAGAAGGAAAGTTGATAAAATAAATTACAAATTTTGTATTGTTCGATACATATGCGTACCGAACCGAAAGCACTGTATCGAACGGTTCAATATCGATACGAATATCGTTGCACCCCTAATTTTTACCCCTCAGCTGTGAAAGGCTGATGGGCTATTGTCATCACCCACCGGGCAAGCAGGCGATGTGGTCAACCAAGTTTGTAAATGTGATAACTTGACAACGAAGAGATGTACGATTTTGAAATTGATACCAGCGGGTGTATCTACTAAAAATCTTCGGATCTAGCGACCTCGAGATTGAGGTCAGAGGTCAAGTTTTCTGAAAGTCTTGTGAATACGAATGAAACTCGAGAACAAGGCGACGTAGGATCTTGAACGTCCGTAGGTGTATTTACTAGGAGGCTGAGGCTGTGAAGGGATAGCCGTGATTCCAAATGCTGAACTTGGATTTGGTACCTTTGCCCTGGAAAGCCCAATGAGATGTTAATGCAAGTGAAAGAGGCCATTAGGATTAAAAGTTAAAGTAAACCAATCACCTTTAAAAGAAGGAATCCATTGGTGAGCCAGTTAAGGAAAAACCCTTCACTAAATCTATCAAGAAGACTCCTTCATTGATGTAAATGCAGGGGGTTTAAAACAAGGTGCAAGCCAGAAAACACTCAAAAGAGCCTGCACATTTCTGAGAAAAACATCCTTTGGACAGAAGAAAGATTAGCTTCCCAGAATGATGGAAAAGAAAAGTTTGGAGAAGGAGCTTATGATCTGAAGCATACTAATTCATCTGTAAAACATAGTAGGGACAATGTTATATGGTCATATAGGCATGTATAGCTGTCAAAGGAACTTGGTTACTAGTGGTTATAGATTATGTGACTGAAGAAGTAGTTTTAAAGTGCACAGGGCTATATTCTCTGCTCAGATCCAACAAAGTGCTTCAGAGTGGAAATAATGTTTGTGGAAATTTGTTAATAAAGCCTGCAGACACAATGAGTTGTAACAGCACCTTTATTTCAACTATCTCATGCATAAGGAGGGACGTCAGTCAGGGGGGCACTGAGAGTCGTCTCAAAGTTGATGGTCTCGGTGGTGGCTAAAACACACAGCTCTGTGAATCCTCCATTTTCTCCGCTTCAACAGCTGGTAGGACAAAGGTACCTTTTCCCTCAGGGGTGATAAGCCCATCCATGGAACAGTTGTTCAGCGACCATGTTTTTATTAAAGGATGTTAGCTACCGCTCACCACTTGTCTGCAGGCTTTAAATGGAAAACTTCCACAACATGGATAATGACACAAAACATACTCCAAATACAATGCAAAGGTTTGTCAAACGGGAGAATATGGACATTTTTCAGTGGCCAACACTATAAGCGGTTAATGCACATACAGGGAGTGCAGAATTATTAGGCAAGTTGTATTTTTGAGGAATAATCTTATTATTGAACAACAACCATGTTCTCAATGAACCCAAAAAACTCATTATTATCAAAGCTGAATGTTTTTGGAAGTAGTTGTTAGTTTGTTTTTAGTTTTAGCTATTTTAGGGGGATATCTGTGTGTGCAGGTGACTATTACTGTGCATAATTAT